TTTTTTTTTGTAAGAAGTATTTTGATATCTAAATGAAGATATGACACAGATGAGAATATAACAAGGAGAGTATTGCAAATTATTGCATCAACAATGTTTATCGTCTACTTGTTGAAATTTTCTAATAGGAAAGAACACAAATCTGAAATATGAATGAAACAGAAACTTTGAGTCAGCAACGAATAGGTGCAATATTATTTTGTCTTTTCTGGTCATTTGAAGACAAATCAGAAAATAAGACAATTAAATGATGATCTCTAGAGACATCTATTGGAAATACAATACATTAGAACGCAATGATTTTCCATTAATAATTAAATATCTAATTGTTATGATCTGCATCTTCTTCAGATGCAATCATAATGATTTTCCCACTTTTCTATAGGTTTTCACCGCTTTTCTATAGAATTATACCTATGAACTTATGTTCGTCTTCTTTTCTCTTATAATTAGTCATGCACCATGGCCAGGGGCGGCGGAATTTTTTCAAATTAGATAAGGCTCAGTATAAGGTTATGGGCTACTCTATAAAACTTTTACATATTACTTTAACATAGACTAGAATAAGTTCAGGTAATAAGATGTTTTAGATTATTTAATTAGTTTGGTATTGTGAAAAATACTGTGCTTGTTCGCTCTTATCTTTATTGCAAGAATATGTGAGTCTTTACCAAGTATAAAAATTTCGTAACAAAAAAAATCATTTATTCCAAATTAAAGTATTAATTCAAAAAAAGCGTATCTTTTGTCATTCGACGTTATAAACGTTGACATTATTTGATATGTATCAATTTCGTCAAGCTTTTCTTTATAAATATGTGTTAATAAGCAGTGATTAAGTCGTGACTGTGTCATCAAATTTCGAAGCGTGTGTTTCAATTGATTTAATGTGATAAATGCACGTTCAACACTTGGTGTAGTAACAAGAAGAGCTATATAAAGTATAATCAATTTATTAAATTCCCTGAACATTTGTTTATCAACATAGCACGAATTTAAAATTTCATAAATAGTCAGAATCTTTGTAATTTGTTTTATTTTCATCTGATTCATGATAATTACAGATTTAAAAAAATCGTAAATCATGTGTACTTCAGCTTTCAATCTTTGAACATCTATGTCACCATCACAAAACTCTATTATCCCTTGCATAAGATCATCTGTATCGTCAACTGAATTATTAGAGATATTAAGAATAAATTTCTCAACATCACATAGTAATTTAAAATTGTTTTAAGTAAAACGAACACGCAACATATTAAGAACAATATCAAGTGCTTCAATATATTGTTGATGATAAAACTCTTCACAAGTAGTAAAATGGGGAAGTCTTGAATTTGAATCATAATGTTTTAATGGTCGTCGTTGTCGAGGTAGAATAGGTTTATCTGTCAAGCCTTCTATCGAATTGTCCGTATCTGATGATACATTAGAAGTATCAAAAATTTCATCCTGATTTTCATGTTCAGGATCATTTTCTGAGGCGTTATAGAGATTTGATTAATTTGATGTTTCAACAAGAGGAGAAATTTTAGTTGTAGAAGATATTTCAGTATTTTCATCTCGTGAACTTGTTGCAAGATCAGTGAAATCTACTAAAGGAATTTCTTCTGTTGAAAGAGACGATACTAGAGCTTTTGATTTAAAAAAATAAATAAAGAATTGATCCGATGGATTGTTTTAATGCTATAAATTGATTATTATCTAAAATATTGATATTATAAAAGAGAAGTGTTGAGATGTAGCTGATTTTATTGCCTTTTGAGAGCACAATTCTATGATTGGTCTAGTTTACATACCACTTAGTGTAAATAATATAACAGATGTTACCAAGGACTATGACAATATGATACATGACTTTCATTTCCGTCGTATTTATTGTTTTTTTTTTTATCACAATGTAGAGATAATCACGCAAAAAAGTTCTACTATCTGCACTAAAATAAAGTTCACTTGATTGAATAGAATCAAATTCGACAGCGAACAAATGTTAGAGCCTGAATTCAGGTCAGGCTCAAGCCTAACGAGCCTACAGGTTCCGTCGCCTATGTACCATGGATTTTTTCATTTCCTTCTATATATGCTGGAATTTTTCATTTCGTTCTATTCTTTTTTCTTTTGTATTCTCTATATGGATTTTTCCTTGTTCGTAGTTTATAGGAATTTTCCAACTCTTGTTATCACCCTATATATGTAGCGTTTCGTTCTTATGAAAATGATGATTTTTTAAGAAAGAGATATAGTTATAGAAATAAAGTAGAAGTGGGATTAAGATCTTACGCTAATCAGACTTTTAAAGTTTTGTATATTCTATAATAAGAAAATATTGATCAGAACTGTGTCTTCGACTAATATTGATTGAACTGTTCGTTCATCGATTCAAAGCGTCAGAAGTAGAGCCATCAGTGTTTTATCCGGCGTGATGGTGTAGGGCATACCTAGAATCGGTTGAGCTTTTTTTCGACCGGACCAAACCGAACAGTTGAAATTGTTGATTTAACAAGCAAAAAACTGGTGCGTTCATTATATCAACTAAGCAATTAGTTTTACGAAGACATATAATGTGAAATTCATATAACCCTTGAAGTTTCTAATAGTAATAACTCCTATTTTAGTCTGTCATGTTTCATGTGTGCTAATAATGCTAAGAATGAACAAGTTTCTTTCAAATGTTTCATCTAGTAACTAACATCCATATTATGTTTTGTCTGTCTTTTTTCAATAATGATATGATTTCTTTACGATTTGATAAGTTTGATCTATTCTCATTTGAAACAATTATTCAAAACAGCTGAAAGACATCTCAGCTCGTAAAAAGATACTATTATTGATAGAAGAATAGTATGGTTTTTATATAAGACTCTCCCTCGGACAAAAAAAACGCCCTTTTTCCATTTCATTTTTGCATCACTTGATAAGTTGTTTTAGAAAAACAAAAAAATACCAGGAGATGCAGCGTAAAAAGAACTACAATGTGCAAAGTAAAGCTTATTTTAATTTTGTACTTTTTGTTTTCAAAAGAAGCAAAATTGTGTGCGACCAATTTTCGACGCTGGGAAAAAATCATTTTTTTCTATGCGAACGAGAAATTCCTTTTT